TAAAGCATTGACACAGCAACTAAAGCTCATTCAAATCTGTTCATCCTTTTATAATGGAGAAAAAAAAAGAAATAAAAAACGTTTTTTCACAACTCCACAAATCCTGTTAAGATAAATATCAAATAATTATCTGTAATAGGCATGTAAAAACAAAAAAAAATCAATGACACTCAGAACACAAAAAAAAACCTTTAGCTACATCAGCTGATCGCGTTGACTGCGGCCTCGATCTATTTACAAACTGTCGGAACATTCGTCGAATACGCTGATCATCTGATCGAAAATGATCAGGAACAAAATGTCCTGATCTCTGAACAACCGGAGCTATGCCATTAGACGTTTCCTGTCGTTCATTTGATTCCTCAGTATTTCTTTCCTGTGATAAATCATCGCCACCTGAAGCATCATTCCGTTCCTCTCCCAAATTCATTGCTAATATTTGTTTGCTCTTTGTTACTCCCGTTTCTTCCAATGTACTCATACATGGATCTTCTGGAACCTGAAAATACCTTTATTTCAACTAAGTAATCTGATTCCAATCCTTTTTTCTTTTCAGAACTGTAAAAGTTTTTTTTGGATCTTAAAAATCAATTATAACAACAGACGATCAACAACAGAACAAACTTGTTCTTCTTCAGGTGGAAACGATATCTGAATAAAACTATCATCACCAGGTTCACTTGAATGAGTGCTTGCTGTGCCGTTTTCTTCAGGATGGTAGGACATACGATTGTTGTTATCGATGCCTAAAGCAAATAATCCTTTATGATTTTTGAAACAATAATATTAATCATGGATTTTTTTAGATACATCAAAACCAAACATTTCAAAAGTCTTGAAAAACTCGAACTTTCGTCTATTTCGAGAGGCTGTATACCGGGTCCACCACAGAAGTCTGCTCGACTGTCCGAGTTTGAAATTCCATTCGATTGTTTTGGCTGATGATTTCGTGGCATAAAATAAGAACTATCAACAGAACTTTCTCGTTGACACTGCTCTTCTGTGTTACTCGCGAGTTGTCGACGACGAACTGATCGTTCATTTGTTACCTGGAGGTTTGGAATTCGAAAAAAATGAGAAAGATCAATTTAGAAACCAGTAAATTTGCGTAATTTCGTCTAACAGAATTTTAAACTTTGGTAAAAACAAGACATACATACTCATATATGCCCTGGGCAGTCGCTTAGGCTATTTTATTTTTAATGTGACAAAACAATACAATAAGATTGAAATTTTAAATATGTAAAGCTTTATTATATCTACCTCAGTATTCACAGAATTTGGGGAACGTTCTCGAAATTTTGGCAAATCGGTACATTCTGCAAAGCCTGCACGAAAATGATCTTCCAACAGTATTTGATTTATAATTGCAAGCAGTTCCTTCAAAAAATGTGTATTTAAATTAAATTTCAGATTCTGTAAAAAAAGCCGCTTTGGAATAGAAAAGGTATCCTAAGCACCATAGCTTTAGTCGATTTTTTCTTGAACCACCTATAGTTATTGAGTAAAATGATGCTTACAATACATCAAATAGCATTACATCGATAACAAATCAGCAATAAAAAAAAACCTTAGTTTCTTCAGTTTCTGGACGATCAGGCTGTTTCATTACGTATATAAAATAAGTCATCAGCTTAACACGCAGTTTTAACATTAACTGCATATCCTGAAAATAATTCTTAATCAAGAGAACCAAAAAAAATAAAAAGAAACAAGAAAGTAAGAAAATCAAAAAATTGACTTAACAATATAAAAATTACAACAGCAAACATAACGGTTAAATTCACCGCACCTCAGAAAATTTTAGAAAAAAATTTAAGGACAAATTTCAGAAACTAACCTCAAATTTCCATCGGAAAACCAACCATGGCTCAAGCGCAAAGACGCATTCATCGGTATTTGAATCCGTGTCCGCATCATCATTTAATGCAAATTCATCACCTAAAATTAAAGAACTATTTATCCCAACCTGAAATACAAACAGCTTCTACCACGAAATGCCTGACAACTATTTGTTTCCTGCGACAAAATTACATTTTCAAAAAATTTAATCAGCTTACCTATAGAATAGTCATTCAAAACTTCACGTTTGAGATGAATTGGACCGGCAAACAATAATACAGACAGTGGTGGAACTGCTGTAACCGTTCGTAACTTAAAAAATTAATAGAATGTTTCAAATTTAAGTGGGATTTGAACACTTTTAGAAAATGGGTTAAATTAGAAAAATCATAAAAAAATAAAGTAGCAGTAACATTAGTAACAACCTACACTCAAGTTAGCACCAGTTTTTGATAATTCCTGGAAAGCAAGATATTCAATAACCGGTTCCCGTCTACCGAATTTCCCAATTCCCATCCCATTCATTCCAGTAGATGAAGCTTGTCGTTTAACCGCACATCCATATGGCAATGATGCAACTTCGTTACTGCAAAAATTCGTATATCCAAAAATTCAATTCAACAACAGCTAAACTTTGAATAATGAAAAGGCGGCAAAAATAAGTTAAGAAACTTTCTGACTGACGAAGATCAATCTTTCATGCTCACTTCATGGTATTCCTTACAATGATAACTACTATCTCACCAGCTCAAGAATTAGACATCTAAATTTGGTTTCTAACTAAAACGAAGATATAGGTTAACGAAAGTAAAAATGATCACGTTACATAACATTATTAAATAACTAGAGATTTGTAAAGTTTTTCAAAACCTTGTACGTATTTTTCGAATCTGGCCACCAGAACGGGTAAAACCAATGTTAGGGTAACTGCCTGCTACGATAGCAGCTTGAATCATTGGCCATGAACTACCATATCGATTTAAATCAGGATCATCTGCCGATCGGCAACTTGAGGGTAACAGTCGAAGCCTTTGCAGTTCCATAAATAGCTGTTGCCTAGAACGGCACTATAATAGATCTCAAAAACAACCATGAATCGGTAAGGGTGTATAAGTACATAAAAGTAACCACAATGAGATCGTGTTTTTAGTTTTAGAATTCGGAAAAAAAATCTTTAAGATTATCGAAAAAAACAATAATTCTGATCACTCAATCCACTGCAGATAGCACAATCTAACATTACTCTTTTCGGCAAAAATTATCAATTTTTAAACTATTTGACCGAAAAAAGTCTAAAGAATCCTTTTAAGAAGCAATTTTTTAAGTAAGCACAACGAAGGCATACTATCATGGTCTCCAAAGCAAGAATATTTGTTGGTAAGCTCAAAAATTTACTACATGAATTGATTCTTAAATTTGACTTAATTCGATGCCACTATCAAGGATAAAATTAAAAATAAAGCATCATATTTCATATGTTTTTTTACAACGTATTTTTATATAATCTTCAACAATTTTCGCAAAATATGCAACCAATTCATTACTTCAATCATTTCAAAGTAATTTAATTTAATTAAAAAAATGTCATTTACCGAATACCAACGATCATTCGCATTGCACTGAGAGATAAAAAATTAGCCACGCAAAAATTTGACTGTCCATGGAATGGTAATTTTACAAACGCGTTATATATTCTCAAAAATGTCATATGGTCGGAGTAATCAAAGCCCGCGAAAATATCACGTGCCATCATTGCGGAATTCCGTTCTTCTCGTTCACCACTCGGTGGTAACACAACTAAAATAACAAGCATTTTTAAATTAATTTAAATGAAATGGAAAGATGAATGAGAAAAAAGCGGAATGACTAATATCTAAAGATCAAATATAATAACTTACAGGGATCACGATGCGACAAAGTGGCAACAAGTGTTAAAACGGGACTCAAACATTTCAAACAAATTCCAAAGAGAAGAAACCGAGCCAACTGCGGACACAGCGGAAGTTGTACAATATGACGCCCAAGATCAGTTAAATCTGGTTCACCATTCCAAGTATTTGCTAAGTATGAATTGTCTGATAAATGTGACATCTGCGATGACTCTAGTCGACTTTTAAAAACTGCACCAATTTGCTGTAAATGTATTTTCTAATAATACTTAGCAAGTGCCATAATTAAAGGAACGATGGTAAATAGATAGGGAACCAAAGCAAGGGAAAGACTTTAAAGAAGAAATTATGAGCTGTTGAAAGTTAAGAAACAGTTTGAACTTTTTGCAGCCAAAATTACGGCAACCTCAAGAAATTCAAAGCTTTGATCGATGGCCATTGCTGATGGTGGTTCCGGTGCATTGAGCAGAAATTGGCGAACTGAATATTTTCTTGGAGCAAACATTTTCGCATGTAAGCATACTTCATGAATAGCGCTTCTTTTCATTTCAGGTAACTAAAATAGTGCAATTCATTGCAAAAATTAAGGTGTCCGTATTTCAGCAGATATTCCAGAAAAAGGAAAAAAGCAAAAAGCAAACATGCATTAAAGACCTGAGTTGGGTTCATTCTCGCATAATCTTCTGTTGTGAACAATCGGAAGCAATAACCATTTCGACATCTTCCAGCTCTGCCGGCTCGTTGTTCGGCATTTGACTTTGCTATCCATGTCATTTTAAGTTGACTTATACGTGTTGAGTGGTCGTAGATTTTCTAACATGTAAAGAAAGTAAGCTTATAATATCTTAGATTTTCCATCACTTTTTATTTACGAAAGAAATATACAAATGGATCAAAAAAGCGAGAACAATGAATCTCTTTTAGCACATTGTTCTGCCTCCTCCACCCTCTCCTCTTCCTCCCCGTCATACTAAGAAACAAGCAGAATAACGTTGCAGACATATCAGTCTACCGTAACAAATATTGAAATCATCGAAAAGTTTGAATAATTACCTCTTTGACTTTACCGCAATCAATCACAAAAACAACATCATCAATTGTCAAACTTGCTTCAGCAATATTTGTACTCAAAATCTGTAAATCACCTGAATTCATTACTCCACTTGTAATCCTATCCAAAATTTAACGTTTTAGACCGATAACGAATTATTATGCTTCATCTTTTGCCTTTTATTCGCAGTTCTTTATACTGCACTCAAAAACCATAATAATAATAATTTAGTCAGATAATGCAGCTTAAGACGTACCACTTTACGACAACCACGACTCACTGGCTCGAATACACGCTGCTGATCTTGACTGCTCATTTGAGAGTGAAGAGTGAAAATAGCCGGTTTTGTAGAACAGCCTTGCATTTTAATAGCTTTCTCACGTACGGCTAAAATGTCTTCATAACCAGGTAGGAACACTAGAATTGAACCTGAAAAAAAGTCTTTTGGTTTAACTCGACGTTCAAAAAATATTCTGACCGTAAATATCACCATAGCAATGTTCAATTTCCCTAGTGATTTATCTAAATCAGATAATGACATTCAAATACAAAAAAATCAGGGAAACTAAATTTCCTACGACAAAGAATCAAACAAATTTTATAATATTTTGCTTTATTTGTGAAGATATTTCGAAAATACTTCATATAAATACGCGAAAAGAAAAACTAAACCATGAACTGGACTATCCATGCAATAATTAATAACAGCTACTGTCAAATCAGTATCAACACTTTCCAACCATTGTTCACCACCGGATATCATATAAGACTATAAAACGCATATACAATGCATTTAAATTACTCAAATTATTTCTTTCTAATCTTCAAATTTCGATTTAACAAATTAAATTTGCTTCATATTCTTAGTTGTGTTGTTTTTATTATTTTCCACTTAATTTTCCTTCCAATTTATATATAAAAGACGCAACTTCTCCAAGCGAAAATTGTAACATGTGAAGACTTACATCAACCAGGTAAATCGTATCCAAGTTGGTGCGTCGCAGAATTTCCACATATGACGGGTCAAAATGTGGCGGACGGTCGCGCAAACTCGATACATAGTACTCTTGATCGTAATGAGGCTAAAAAAGTGCTCAATACAGTAACAGCAAAGCATAATCATACAGGCAAAATTAGTTTGAATAAATCTCGCTAGATAGTGAATAAATTCGTTTAGTTCATTAAGATGGAAATGTAGAATGAAACAAGAAAGGGATCCACATAACCGATATTAGCTTTGAAAATGCCAAACATGAAAATGATAAAACAAACATACCGCATCTCGACGTTCTGAATGAACATTTGATAGCGAAAATGGCACTAGTGATCTAAAAATAATTAAAATTTATGAAAAAACTTAAAAAAATCCTAAACCAATGCAGAGACAAAGTAATTTCATAAAATAAATGGATAGTGTTAATAAACAATCATAAACAGTTATGGAAAAACAGTAATAAATACTCCTGATTAGAAAAATTTGATCCATGCATCCCAAATCTATCTGCGTTATTCGTGGATATATAGAATTTTGGAGGCTGAGTGTAATCTTGTACGTTTGGAGGCTGTAAATCATATTTAATAAGCAAGCTTAATAAATATACGAATATATTTTCTAACCATAGCTGTGTCATTGATAGGTTGTCAAATTACTCATTTCAATTCCTTTGCTGTCTTGCAAAGTTTTTTTTTTTGTCTCCACCTCTAGCAGTAGGTTATTGCTGAACGAATTTCAGTTCCCCGTTACAACTTGCAACTGACTACTTTCAGAACACAATCTTACCGTAACGTAATAATTCTGGCAATCATTCTGCGCCGGCACCACATGATATGTTGCATACATCATCTGCGGCCCACCAATATATGATGCCATCATACCATATGGGGTCATTGGGATCTGCTGCGCAAATACACAATTTGGTGGTGGGTGAGAATAATTGAAACCCTAAAAACAATCCAGCCATGAATTAAAAATGTTCAAGAAAATTATCTTAATGATTATTTCTAACACGAGTTTGGCATATGCCACATAGCTGAAGAAAATTTCAGTTAAACAACCTTTGACAAGATTTAGAGATATAATTCAAAATTTATAGCTAAATGGTGCAGTGCCATGATTTCCAAACCTTTAAACCATATGCTCATTCATATATATTAAATTTATCAGAACCTCCTTCCGGAAGTCTTTCCGCCAACAAGTAAAGACTTTTCAAAAATTTGAAAACAAAAAATTTAAAAAAAAAACTTGCAGCCAATCCGCTATGTGACGGATACATCTGGTGCCCATCATAGAATGTTGGTTCCTGATAACAACCATTTTGTTCGTTGTTTCTTATATTCATTTTGCTATACATTTCAGTTAAACTAATATGTCCTAAAAGCCATTTCTCAACTTAAATTTCAATATTCTTCTTAAAAGGAAAATGAAAGCATCAAAATTTTTAAGCAAAGAAAGCATCAAACAGTTCCATAAAACTTACCACTGCAATTTGTATAATAGCCATTTTCATGATGTGAATTAGATGAAATTCTGCAAATTATGCATATTTTCAATTTTTCAACATTTCCAATGTTCATTTCTCTCCTTTTTTTTGGTAATGCAAGCAATAACCAACCGATATCATGTAAATTAAACAAAACTTTTCTGCAGATTTTAATAAATGAATGCAAATTATTTCTGATGCACGGCCGCCTCATTTCTGGGCTAGCCCTGAATAAGCAGACTTTTCTCTACTTCATACGGAATATCACACAGATACAAAATGACATCCAAATATCTGGTTTCATTCCCAACTTAAACAATCATCTCTCTGTCAGACAGTTTTCAATCAGTGATTCTGATTTGCATTTGCAAAGTTATTTGAAATATTCCTTAACCGTTAATCTAGTCCTTCCAAGCTTCCCGATGAATGTCAAATTATCATCTGGTAGAGAGGAAAGAAAGAACTAACTGTGGACATAACTGCCGATTATTGACCTGACTGATAACTGTTGGAGATGAATGATCATTTGCAACAGCAGATGATGCAATTTGTCGCGAAGGCATAATTTCATAATTGCTATTTGTTTCATCGCTATTCTAAATAACTAAATCCAATTACAAGAACTTCAGTGAAACATAAGCCGAAAATAAAATTCTTACTTTAAACATACAACACTAAAGAACTTACTTTTTTCTTATTATTACGTCCCTGCTGCATTTTTGAATCGTCATAATTTTCAGAACGAAATTCGTCCACTTGAGGAAAACTGTAAAAAGATGCAATGAATATAATTAATGATTTAGAATAATCCTAAATTCTTCAAGATTCCGGCTGTATTTCAACAGTGCAATCTCATTCATTTTCGATTAAAAAAATTTCTAATTATCTATAGCTAATTAACTTATCAAACGTCTCGAACTGCAGACTATTTAATTATGCAGCTGAATAGTTTACCCCCAAAGGATGAAATCCCACACCGTTAAAATCAGTTGCTCCACCGAGAATTCAAATTTTCCGATAAGTTAAGGCTTCCGCGATATCAGGTTTCAATCCCATTTGATAAACCTATATCGAGATTGAAGGAGGTGCCTATGATCTCGATATTGTATATCATATCGAGATTCGTCATGAAGGAGGTGATATATACCAATAAAATAATTTCCTATTCAAAACATACAATACGCACCTATTGTAAGCTTGATCATCATTCAAGCTCCTTGCAGTTTTGCCAAAGAAAGTACCACCGGTAAATGATGATGAATGTTTATAATCTGTTAATGCCAATATTTCCGGTAGATAGAACATTTCCACTTTATGTAACGTGGATGGTACTGAAAATGAAAAAAAAAAAATTTTCATATAGTAAATAAATCATAATGGTAAGAATGACGCCGGAAAAATCGTAAAAATGACAATTATAGTAGCAATTATCACTTTATCATTTTACTTATTTCAGAACAACTTTATCGAAGACTAAACGAAAAACGAATATTCAGGGAGCAGCTTTATCATATCGAGCATTTATGTCGCCGAATTTTCGACAGTCTTGGTAAAATATTTTATCAGTACAGATGGGAATTATCCCAAAAGAATTGCTCCCAATATCTCTCTAGTTTTTTTATTCTCATTTGTTTCTAATAGTCATTTGCATTATTATGTTAGATAATGATATACTAAGGCATGGTGATGATTTTTAGAAGATGGATACATCCGAGTTACTTTTAGGACTTATAAAAAAATTCAGATTACTCCTCTATTTTATGTCTTTGTAGGTTTCACCATTTACTAGCTAAATTCCAATAGAAAATCATTAATGAAACAATCGAAAGACTTACTGTCCAAACAAAAAACATTTCCAGGACCAAAATAACGTCTAAATAACTCGCGACTTTCTTCCATTGTTGCCGACATTAAAATAATCTAAAAAATCAAGATGTTATCATGCTGATAGCTTCATGTCAGTTAGGAATCTAAATCAATTTTCAAAATCCATGAAATAAAAGTTACTCTCAAGTCATCGCGATTTTTAAGCGCCTGTCGAAGTGCTATCAGTAGATAATCCGTTTTTTGCTCTCGTTCATGAATTTCATCCTTAAATTTAAGACCACTATATTTGTTCACTTTAATATCAAACAGGTATATATGTATATATATATCTTTGATAACAGTTAAATGGGACTACATTTGGTTCTTATCCGAATTCTACCAACTTCTGAAGTTGTCATTTTCCGATTTCGTGAGCGATTACGAAGAAAGCTTTTTATCCCTTAGAATGTACACCAAAACGTATTGAAATATGCAGAGAACAAGATTATATTATTCACTGTTGAGCAGCAATCAATAACACTAATCTTGAAATGAAAGAAATAAATTAGTCACAAACCAAGATAATGTGTGAAATATTGGAAGCATTAGTGTCGTTTGTTAGCAGCCGTAGCAAAACTCCACTGGTACAATATGTTAGTACAGTTTGTTCCGATGTTCTGCAAAAAGTGGAGCTATGATAGAAAATTGAAGATTTTAGAATCCATATCCATTAAAAACTAAAATTCCACCTAAGAAAAAAAAGAAGCATACTTCTGCTCTAGTCGAATATGGTAACCCACTGTTGATCCCAATTTCTCGTTCCTCTCTTTCGCAACGCGGGCAGATACAGCAAGAACTGGCAATCTTCGCGGTTGTGTACAGAATATTCGAACTGCCTGCTGTCGTTCTGCAGCATCTTCCAGAATAAACTGGGGAACCTGAAGAAATTAATACCAGATATTTTACAATAGCGTAAAATATCTGAATATATAAGAATACATTTCCGAACGCAACCCTTGTAACCTTTTTGCGATTAAGTGTTTTCAATTCATGATGTCTTTTTCAAAAAAAAAAGATCTCTTAATCATTTTCAACACACCATTGATTAAAACCAAACGGAAAGATGTGCCTGAATAACATTAAATAGTGAGGTTTCAACCTTCTAGCACCAATTACTTCACGTAGAATCATGAAAATGGCTTCTCTAAGCGCTATCTCACTTCCAAGATGTTTTAAAATCTATAATAAATTGTGGATGACACAAGCGCATTACTAATTGCGCCGCAAATTATTATAGCAGTTATTTTACAAGAAACATTCCCACTGTCACACTATCCCGAACGTCACAATGAAAAGATGGAAAACTTTATTAAAATTATTTAATTCCTAAACGTAACTCCTCAGCATTTGCTATAATTACTTTAGGAGAAAAGCGTGAAGATTTTTTTCCATATCGGACGTAGAGTAGATCTGAGTATCATCGGTACTAATTAGTTTCGCTTACCGAAGACCATTTCAAATTTGTATGGGTATCCCGTCTTGAAGATCTCAATGCAACATTTAAAATTCTCCAACAAAAGTGAAAATGAATATGTCAATATTTCAAAATTAATGTCTCAATCCAATCCGTTTGTTTAGTCTTAAAAAGATCACTGAACCACGCTTTGCACCGATTCTGACAGTATTATGCTGGTTTCAGGTTTTAGCCCAATCAGCAAACCACCCAAAATAAAAAGTCCAAAACTTAAAGTTGCGCACTTAAGGCTATGCGATATATGACATGTAATCAATAGTAATCAAAGCAACTTTCAGATCTATTTCTCTCTTAATTATCATTTTTGCATTGAATATTCTATATTTTTGAATCTGAACACTCTCGCTTATCTGGTTCACCATAGGAGGAACATGAGGAAGTTGCCAATGTGCGATTAAACATATGCTCACTAGATTCTCTCAAATGCTACTCATTGTCCTTCGAGCTAATAAAAATTCGTCAGCAAACTAATTTTGGCCTTTTCCAACAATATATAAATAGCTATTTCTTTGTATGGAAAAAATGTAATCGTTCTCATTATTTACCACAAATCTTTGCATTATTTGAGTGAGATTTATATTTAACAATCATACTTTCTTCTATATAATACAGCTCGCTCGTAGAACGCTTAATAGATAGTCCAAAACTGACAATAGGACATGTTATCATCATAATGCTAGCATCTCTCTCAAAGTGGAATTATTTTTCTGACTTTAAGTTGCACTGACAAAACACACGTTCACACCAAATGTACAAAAGACTTTATGATCAATGTTTTACACTCTTGATTTTCCTTCCGAATAACTGAAGTTGTTATTGCCAAGAGAGAATTCGTTTGACATGTCAGAAACCCTTGTGTTTGGCAGTTCTTCTATAGAATCTCATAACTTCACTTTCATTCTATTCATAAACAAACACTCAAATAACGCAAAGATTTGTGGAAATTGAAGCATATCGCCCAAAAAAAAAAAACATACATTCTAAAGTAACTCGGTGTCAGCTGAATGATTTATTCTTTGATCAAGCACTTCTCCCACAATAACTCAATGTCTCAACTCGCATTTTCAAAATTAATCAGATCACATCTCGATAGTTAAATATTAAGGAATATTGAAACACATTGAGATCATTCAGAATACAAGATTAAATTCCTAATTTTTCACAATGAAAGCACTCTTTTCATAAAGCATGAGCAAATTAAATCGCACTGCTCTGTAAATTACCAAATTATTCATTTTTGGATCCATTTCAAACGATTGAAAATTTCTTCTACTTGTGGTACAATAAAGACAACACACTCCACAATGGATCCGTCAAGAGGTGATTCTATTAATAACTTTCAGCATAATGATAGAATTTTAAACAGCATGAAGCAAATCTCATCAGCTCATTCACCGTCATAGAAATTTTTATACAGTTGAAAAAAATTAATGCCAAACTTTATTCTATTTTTCATGCATTATAATTTTTTTGCAAGGAACAAATATTATTGTGCTGCATACATCATACTCTAAATTTCTTTCTCACAACCACACACACGTAGTTTGTCAGACATTTAAACCTACATCTGGTTAAAAACAAGGAAAAGAAAAAATGGAAAGGTTACAATAAAATTTGGTTGAATTAATCATTATATGAAGTAAATCGTTAACAGATACTTTACTTTTGCATTTGAAAATGTGATATGTAATAAAACAAATCATGTATGCTCTCGATTACAGTCATTAAATCCGGCGAAAAGATGAGCTCTGCGCTTATTAAAAACAACTACTATGAATGATTTATGCACAAAATCCAGTCACCGTTAAGAAACGATTACCTGTGTTGTCTTACCACAACCAGTTCCACCAACGATCATTGTTACTTTATGATTGCGAATAGTTTTTAAAATTTCTTCCCTCATAGCATAGGTCGGCAAACTTCTTCGGAAGTTCTCAAATGTATGACGTACTGACGGACAAGGTGGAATCAACATTGGTCTGTTAAAGCTTGCATGACAGCGACCACCAATTTGTCGGCCTAAAAACAAACAAAGTAGAAATAGCAGTTTGATATGAATAAAACACAGAAAAATATCAAAATCACATTGACCTCACAGAAATATGGAGCAAAGAAATTACATGTTTATAAGAGAAAACTTACGACTGCTATGCTTACCGAACGCTGCAAAATTTGAGTTAATAAATTTGCAATCAAAAAAAACAAATTTAAACAAGACATATTTTCGGTTATATTAAAGTTGTGATTGTTAGCCAACACTTTTTCTCCTTATCACTAAATAAATTTTTTGGATTTTACTCAGATGATGTGAGATGAATTTGGGAAATGTCCTCTTTGATTATTCTTTTTTACAAAACTATTTGGTGTCACATGTATATATATCGACTAATTGCAAGTACATTTAACATTGAACAGCCTATATCACGCATTAATAGAAATGGTATCTTGATGAAAAGGAAGAGAAAACGTACTCGCATTGCCGGATCGAAGGTACAAGTCGATATCACCATATCCTAACGGAAATATGGTCAGAAAACGCGACAGTGCTCGTTTTTGGAATATACTCAAAATAATCGGTTCCGAATCTCTAGCATTCGTGTAGGTACACAGATCAACATGTGGAAAACGTGTCACTACAACGCGACGATTGCATCCGCTCCTGAAATATTTAAAAAATTTGACTCAACTAATATCGTCAAAAGCAAATTTTTTGTTTCAGTTATCGTTATTATTTTAACACATACTGGCTAAAACACTTGAATTTAGTTAAATTCTATTTCTTGGATAATTTCTACTCGCCATTAATATGATAGATGGCAATATAAAAAACAGAGAACGATCCTACCCGATGCTGTGCGACTTCAGACTGCAATTCGTAGCTATACAATGCACAATCTTCCTTTTCTCAGTTGATAACGGTTCAAGAATGATTTCTAGAAAGAAAGTAAAATAAAAACAGATCATAAAATTTTTTTGACTTATTTCATGTCAGCAATGCTAACAATTTTCACAATAGATAAGTAGAATTCTATGTAAAGATGCGTATGCCAAACATTTCGCCTTCTTCGCCACTTCATCTTTCCCTTTGACCTCAATTATAACTAATCAGTAATGTTATCATTCAACATTCAATATACTTTTTCTATATATTTTTTGTGTTATCTATTGTAATATTACTCCTTCAGCTAATTAAATGATGCTAATGAAAAAATGACCGAATAAATGAAGAAAATTTACCTCTTTCGGTGCCACTTCTAAATTCTAGCAACTGTTTGCGAATATTTTCTTCAAATGAATCATCATTTTCACGTTCCTCTTGTTCAAAACCATCATCAAAGTCAAAATCTGATCGCTGACCAAACGTCTGCGACATCTTTACCTGTGATGTAATTTCTGAATAATTTGTTCCAATAAGGCATGCATCATAAATCATTCGATCATTTACGAAGTATGTTTTCGATTAACTTTTTTAATGAACAACATTAGTACAGTACGCGAATAACATCGTATTCAAACCATGTGCATTGCTCCTAAATAACATATATTCTGTTGAAACATGGACCTAACTAAATTAAATATCTCATTATTTGGTGAATTAAGCTTTTCAAAAATTCATATTATTTTACGTAACAGCTTTCTCATCACAGTTAAAAATTACTCTATGATATAAAATAGCACTTATTATATATTCCATGAAATTCGGCAAAGATATCAAGTAAAAAAAAATTAATCAAAACTGTAATGAAAGAATTAGATATGTCTCTCACGTGTCAAACACATAATGAGCATAAAACTTCACGCTGACATATTTAAACCACGAGAAATCCACCCACACACGCACAATACTTACTTCACGTGACCATAGCTAATTTTTGATGCGGCCCGTTGTGAAATATGATTAAATGGAAAGAGAGCAAATGTTATTTTAACCAAGCAAGTCTTTCCTCTCCCGACTCCTGTGATATTTCGTAAATTCACCAACTCTTATTGTTTCTTTCATTGAGGTGCTATTTTCCCTCGTACTTTCATCCCCTTTTCCACGCTATTTTGATAAAATCATTCTTTGATTCTTTTCCACTGTACATTCCTTTGTTTCACGAGTAAATAAATGTAAGTGGAATAATGAATGGATATTGTCTTCTCTTCTTTACACTCTCTTGTTTCATTCTTTTCCATTATCTTTTCCACTTTTACTCTTTCTCTGTTCTATCATTTCAGAGATCCTCTGTGGTTTCTATGCAAACAGATCGTAAATTAGCCAAGTTTGTAGGGTGAAGCTAATGAAATAAATAAGCCTTAAGGATGGTAGTAAAATATATAGCCATTAACTGTAAATCATAACTGCGTTGATTGATGCATTGAATTATATGCCACTTGGTGACCTGAAGAATTAAAGGTTTCTATATTTCACCGACAGGATAAAGCTGAATAAAGAAAGATATTTTTTGATTTGTTTTAAAATAAAAATGTACATACAAAATTATTACCTTTTTTTGAATTCTCAGTAGAATGTATGAGATTTGTTTATTTGAAGTCTCATATCTCTCTATTAAAATTAATCACCAATCTGTGTGTTCGTTTTTTTTAAATTTTCAATTGAGTGTTCGGAGCTTATTTATAAATCATC